CTTTCCTTAACAGATGCACTTCCTGAAGAGAGACATCTTGAAAGACCATACTTGGAAAGTGTTATTATTGTAACATGAAAACCTTGAAGAAGTTGTCCAGAAACAGAAGTTTCTGTTGTCCAGAGTCAGAAGTTAAAGCCATACCAACCCTTTACTGGGTTTTCTTCTACTTAGGTAATGAATGTTTTAAATCAGTAAAGTCTGATAGGTAAACTCTATCCCTCTCTAACCCAGTATTGGAAAGAGCGTCTGCCTTTTGTTATTCTAATATTTCCAACAGGGCCTCTTTCAAACTCAAAACTGTTAACACTTTCATTTTCCTCCATCTTATAAGAATTGCAGCTCTTCTTTCTATACACTGTGTCCTACCAAGTAAGGCCACAATACTGGAGAAAGCAACTATAATTCATATACTTACTAGAATGTGTTCTCTATTCACACAGTTTAGATAAAGGATTTGAGTTTCACATTCACATATACTACTTAGGCTGTAATTCAGAGAGGTTATTAGATTCATATATGTAATTGCAAAGATTCATTAGCCTCCCACACACTTCTTTTGCAAATGTCACACCACAATGGAAAGCAAAGCTCTCCCACCTGGAGCTGCTGCTTGTTGCTTATGAAGGTAAAAGTTCTTTTTCAAAAGGAGCAAATAACTTTAACCGCTGGATTTTTTTTCTTACCTAATAGTATGTGGTATGAACAAAGGATAAGTAAGCCTCCTTCTCGCAGGTGCCAAGAGTTTGGATTTTTCCCCAATACCTGGTAGTGGATCAGTCACAGCCGATTGAGTTTCCATTGTTCATTGATTGTGCCATTTGCCAGGCAATCCATCCTTGCTTATGTAATTGCAGCATTCCTGCAGTTCATTCTGTTCTGTCCCCAAGGTTCAGCAGCATGACAGGCTGGGAAAATTAGATACCGCACAGCACCGAGCTGCTGACCTTCAGAATATACAATAAGGCCCATCCTTTAGACTGGTCTTTCTTGATGAGGTTATTTTGAGGGACCTTATTTCTAAGAGGCGATTTTTCATGCCAAACACATAGCTTCTTAAAACATCTCTCTACTGATAAAAGAACGATCATTTTAAAATTTAAGCATATCTGTACTGTGTACAATCCTATGAATAAATTGATTTAATTTTCTGTTTGTCCAAAGGGAACAAATGTTTGATCTTCAGATAAAACTCTCACCTTGAAACCAAAATTAAATATAACTTTAAAAATATCTAATAAATATGCAGAAAACGTCACAGAATCTTAATAATAAAAATGACTGAATCTCTCAGTTTAATGTGGCTGAGTATCTATTTGTTTGCCAAAGAACCGAGTTCCATAGGAGGATTAAATTTCTTTCTGGTGACATAAAATCTACGTTATATTTTTCTAATTTCTTTTCCTTTTAAACTATTTCAAACTCATAGAAAAGTTGTAATTACAAGATCAAGTATGTTCCTTCCCATTATTGGGGAATAGTTACTGACCTAATACACGATAACCCCAGAATAATTTAATATGTAAATAAGAACATTCTTCTAGAGAACCACATTGCAACCATCAAATTTAGAAAATTAACTCTGACACATGACTGTCATCTAATCCTCAAATGCCTTTCTGGTTCCTTCCCTAATTTCCAAATGAAGTCGATTACAGCAAAAGCATCCAACTGAGCCTTCTCCGTTACATTCAGTTCACATCTGAACTTTGTATAAATAAAAATAAACTAAAATTGGACTGCCACAATTCCATAAGAAGAGATCAACTTATGAACTAGAGAATCAGCCACAATGTACAATGGAAAATGAACTGCCTCATCCTCCAGGCAGTGGGGGCTGTATTTCAACTTCAGGATAGGCTGCAGGATGTCTAACAGGAACAAATAACCCAAATGATCCACTCTATCCTCCCAGAATTAAAGAAATTATTAAGATTCTCCTGCTTCACCTGTAATTGCAGTTCTCCACTACGATCTGTCTTACTAGAGACTTTGTTAGCTCCAAAGTCTACAATATAAACACTAAACTGTGCAGAGGGCAATTTTTTGCAAGTTCCTAAAATATTTATATGTAACTGGGAATTGTTTATTCAGGATCTCAGCAATTACAGTACTAGAAATATATTTTATAGGAGCATTCGCTACAATCCAAAGTCCCTTTCATTGCCCTTAAATACTGTTCCTATTACTGTCAGTGTAAAATACGGGGTGGCTTACACCATTGTGAATGTGAATATGTAATATGATCCATGTGCCGGGCCTTTGATAAGCCTGTGGATTCTGATGGGAGTTTATTTTCATGAACAACAAACAGAAAAGCTTGTAACAAAGAAGGAGGATCCCTCATGCCTCTGGTAGCCAAAGGGCATCAGAATCCATAACTACACACATCCCAGCTCCATCTAGGAGAAAACAATTAGCTGTAACAATCCCTCCTTATTTTGCTTAATAATTTTGCTTAAGGACTTAACTGCCAACATCTCATTTCCCCAAATCCCAGCTTCAAAGAAAGCAAGCTAAGTTCCTTCACACCAAATTGTGCCTGTTCCCACCTATCATCTTCCAAAGACATCCAGTAACAAAACTAGTTAAACCTATGGATCCTGTTCTTTGACTATCAGTTTTAAAACTTATATGTCAGCTCTGCCCTTGATTTTGGGGATGTAAAAACAAACCCAAACATAAAAAACAAAGTACATCCACCCTGCCCCTTGAGGTTGGCTTTGCAGAAAGTTGCTAAGCAGGAATATGTGCAATTAGGTATCCGATATAGTAACAGACTCAAGTAGGAAACACCGCCTGAATGAAGTTTCCGACTGGCCTCCTATCTCCACTTCTCTCCCAGCTCAGCTCTGCCAACCAAAACTCTTGGTAAGATTGACTGGCGCTGCTAACACAAATACAGGGTGAAAGTTTTATTACTTATTCGCTTTGATCATCGGAGCTGTTATAAAACAGGTGCGGCTGCATGATTGCAAGATTACAAAGATGAAGAACTCAGATACAGTGTCATTAAATGTCCATGATTTATAAGGTGCTGACTCTGTAAAAATACAATGACCCTTTCACAAAGATTCTCATTAACAACAACATTTTGTGCACAATTATAGATAACATAGGCAAGCAACTAGAGATTGCTGAGGAAAAGCCAGTTAATAGAAAGGAAATCTCCAGGTCTCAGGTGTCTATTTGCTGGATCCACTGACTCTCATGCTCGCTGCAGCCTTCTGGGCCTTTGCTGACCCCTATTAACCCTCTTAAATCACTCCAATCTGTCCTTTCTCCTTCACTGCCACTGCCACTGCCTCAGGTCTGGCTCTCATTGCTTTTTATTTAGAATATTCTTAAGTGAATTATCTGCACAGTAGTTTTATGGTAGAGGTGGCCATCGAAAATAATTCTAGTCTCATATTTTATGATAGATATTTGTACACAGAGCTTTGGAAAAAGCAGAGGAATAAAAGCATCATACATTCTTAACAGAGGCAATAATCTCTATGCTTTGATTAGAGGAATGCTAGGTGCATTTCCTATTCCTAAAATAATTGCAGTACAAGAGAACAAAGATAACTTTTCTTCTTCTACCATTTATCAGGTCTACTGTATACAAGACATAGTCTTAATCCTTTATTCGGTTAATCCTCAAACTATTTCCATCTTTGCACTTGAGGAAAGGAAGGCACAGAGTGATGAAGTAACTTGTCTGTGATCACATAGTCAGTAACCAAGAGGCCCAACTCAAACCCAGGGAGTCTGGCTCCATGTTTCGAATCTTTGTGATGCCCAGAAATCAGGGGTTATGTTTTCCTCACTCCCTAATGCCAGGTTCACTGTCTGATGCATAAAAGAGAACCAGTCAAATAATATTGGTGAAAAAATTGACAAGGAGGTGCAAGGTGGTCAAATTCTAAAGAAAACACCACGTCCTGTCTGTGGACACTTAAGAGAGTCCAGGGCAGGTGAGGACACAGGGCAGGCTCTTGCCAACGCCATGCCACGTTTCATTCATGCTCTGGGCCTACAGGCATTGGTCAAACACAAACCTGACCATGTCCATTCCCTTCACCTCATTGCTGGGAAATATTTTCCAAACTTCTTTACAGGAAACATCCCTAATGGGCAGATGGGTGCAGCCTTACCTTTAGGGGTTAGGCACGCAGGAGCCACATGGTGAGTTTCTCATGAACTGTGGGCCTCACCTTCAATCCTAGCAAGCCTGGCACTTAACTCTACAGCGTATCTCTGTTATAAAATAATGCTTATAACTACTTCCAGGAGGAAAACGTTATTGCTACCATTGTGACTGCTAAGGCCACTTGGCCTATCTGCATTCTTTCTGGGATTCCAGCTTCACATACACCACAGGCCCATGGAGTGGTCCCCAAGCGGCCACACTTGGCCCATCCCATAAATCCTCAAAGGAGCTCCTGTGTTCTCACCTCTCCAGCCAATAAAATTAGTTGCAACCACAAATCTCAATCGCATTTCAAGCTGTTTTCCACCTGCTGAACTTTGGTAATTAGGCAGTTGTGGAGTTTGAGAAGACATACCCATCATGCCTAACCCAATTTAGGGGTGTGATTTTGTTGAAGCTGTTTCTCAACCCTCTTCCTCCTGGCAGGGTGTGGATACTTAGTAACACTGTCCTAGTTTAATAGACCGCTTGCTTGTTTCCGTGGTGTCTCTCCCACTAGACTGAGCTGTCCCTGACGGCAGGCCCTTGTTTTACTCCCTTAAAATCCCCAGGGCCAAGCAGAGCCCCGCGGGCCAGGTAAACCTCTAGTTTACGGGGAACTGATGTCACACTAAGTAACCGGGTCCCCCAATAGGGGAGGACAAGAGAGCTAACTATGAAATCAAAATTAAACACAAAGTGAAAAGTGAGCACATCCCCCGTATCCATCTTATTTTGTGGAAGAAAACCTTCATATCCCAGATCCAGGGACTTCCCGGGGCCCAAGCTGTCAGCAGGGACATGGGCTGGCGGAGGAGTCACTCACCAGCTCGTGAAAGGCGGGTGTCTGTTCTCCAGCGTTTTGGTCCAGGGCTTGTACCAGCTGATCTGCTCGGCGGCTTTGCCCCAGAACCTCTCCGGGTCGGCCACCGAGGCCGCGAAGTGGGTCCTGTACTCGCCGCCGCTGCCCGAGGACAGCGCCCTGCAGCCCCGGCCCCCGAGACCGCCCCACGGACCCGGGGCCACGTACGCCCTGCGGGCCACATTGGCTCCCCGGGCTGGAGAGGACCCAGGCAGGGGCCCCCCGAGGCTCCCGGCACCAGTGACTTTGCGACATTGCAGCCAAGACGGTTTCATCGCTGCCGGCTGCCCCCCGCGCAGGCTGCGCGCCCGCTGTCCCCAGTGAGCACGTTAAGCGGTGACTGGGGTGTTTGTGGCTTTCTGAGGCTCCAGGGGAGAGCAAGCGGGAGGCTGCTGGGGCAAATTACCAAGTGAGCCCGGAGCCCAGAAAGTTTGGAAGTCACAACAGAGTTGCCAGGAAAAACCGACCTGGACTCACTGGAGAAACAGGCTGGAGTGGGGCCCCAGCGCTGGGGGTGTCTTGGAGCGGGAGGCGAGTTCCGCCTCTGCAAGAAATCTAAACCCCGCTTACATCTGCGCCGCCAGGAAACTGCAGAACGAGCTCCGGATTTTCACACACAAGCACTCCCAGAACAAGGCCAGAGCACTCAACTCACTCAATTTTCAAACAAGCAAGTGTGTGTGGCTTCCTTGGTTTGAATCTTTGGGGAAGGCTTTGGTGGAGGCAGATCGCTTTTGGCCAACAGCGGAAACCAGCGGTCCTGGGCATTGCCACAAAACACCTCTACTGTTATTGCTATTTATTCATTTGTTTATTTAACTCAGTTCAGTCCCTGGTTATTAAAATCACAAGCGGCCGCAGGGTCAGGATTGCTCCAGGACTTCCTGACAGCTGAAGGGTGGGCGGAGAGGCAGGAGGTTGGGCCGACCAAGCTGGGAAGTGCCTCTTGGGGTGATTGACAGCAGGAGGAAAGGTAACCAACTGGGATGAAGCTTCACCTGCTCGCTGGACGCCCCCAGAATCTGGAGGCAGAGAAAGGACTTGTTGCACCCCTCCCTTCTAATTCGCCTCTGTAGACTTTGTGACCTTCAGTTTCAGATGAGAGAACAAAACAGGAAGAGCTGAGTAAAGATGAAACGAATAAAAGGGAAGCTGGGGAATTAAGAGAGAAAGGGAGTGTCCATTACGCTCCGGGCTTCACATTCTTCAAGCTCTGCTGCTTTCACGCTTTAGTGACATTCAGAGGCAGTTTTTGCTTTAATATTATGCCAAACGCATTCAGTCTTGGCGTGACAGGATTTGCAGTTTTAAATGTAAAGATTTGTATTCCCGAATCTGAGGTGAGAAATAGCAGAGCACCCCTGACCTGGTAAAGATCATAACTTGAGAAGCTGGAAACAGATGATACAGCAGGAAAGGATTCATGTGGAGCGAAAGCTGGACAGAATAGAAAGAAACCTAATGTAGAGACAAAGTTCTTACTGTCCTCAGCTATGCCCTTTTAACTGAGAAGCAAGGTGGTAGACTCTTCCCAGACACCTGAAATCTACTTTATTCCCTCCAAAAGTGCCAAGTCACATGCTATCTCATGGCAAAAGACACTGTCACCACTTGAATCTAGACACTTAATCTCTTGTTGCGCCCCAGACCCGGAGGGTTAGTGATTGTCCGTTGGAATGTACTAAAAAAAATGTTGGGTGCTGTGATTCTCATAAAGGTATTAAGGAGTTTTTACAAATGGAGCTAACTTAGAGACAGGTTAATCTACCCAAGGCCATGAAACTACCAACTAAAACAATCAGTCCTCAAACCTTGCTGATGCTCAGACCTTCAGAGCCAAGGTGACTTGAATCACATATGTGTTACTACACTGATTCCTTCCAGCTCAAGGTGGGGGACTACGGTCAGTTCACTGCAGGACTGGAGAAAGTAAGCTGGTCACTGACTCAGCGTACTATACAAATAGGATCTTTTTATCTCCATGCCATGGCTTGCATGTGGTAGGGAATCTGATTTTGAAGTCCTTAATTTTCACACTGAGCTTATCATCTTCTTTAAAATAAAACATTTTAAATGACTTCCAATGAAACATGATGAATTGAATATTGACATCCATTCTTCTCCTTTAAGATACCCCACTAAAGGACAAGCAAAGAGGGCGGTGGACAAGGAGAAGGAGAGAGGAAACAGTGAGAGAGGGGAAGGAAGAGCTCCGTGTGTTTCCAGAATTTGTTTCCTCTGTGGTCCTGGGGATTGGAGGAATGAACCCACAGACCACAAATCAGTGGTAAGACAGGATTTTATCAGAAAGGAATATGAAAGAAGTAAAAAGCACCAGAGTATCTGGCAGGGGGACGGACCAAGTGGGGGTCTCTACTGGGCTCTTTATCTAGGGGTAGAAGGTCTTGAGGATTACACTTGGCCAAGACTCTTACACTTGGCCAAGACTTGGAAACTAACAAGTGTCAATGTTAGTGAGTGTTATTGACAAACAGAATGAACCAGTCTCTCCAGATCAGGGCAAAAGTTCAGGGCATTCCTTTTAAGAAATTGTCCAGTCCTAGGAAAACTGGGGTCCATCTAGCCTTGAATGGGGGACACTATCACAGGGTATAGGACTTAAAAGAGGAGGGTGCAGTCAGCTGAATTCTGACCTCTTCCTGTGGAGGATAAAATGGATTTCTTTCTTACAAAGCTGAAATATCTCAGAATTGGTAAACCCTGGGTTCTTCTGAAGGTTCAGGATTAGGGCTTAAAAATAAAAGACATGATTAAAAGAATGTATGATTGCAAGTTAGATGTTCTCTTCCTTGCCAGATAAAAGCACTTTCTCTGGCCCCTTTACTCTATGACCTTGTCATTTTTTACATAATTAGATAAAATAGGTGATTATATTAAACTCCATTTTGTGTCCAGGAGAAGGTGTGAGTGTGAAGGCACAGTCTGGGCTGGAGGCAGAGTTATGTACAAACACAAGACAGAGCAGTAAAGCTAGAAAATTTTATTAAAGCCAGCCAGATGGGAGGGGTAAAACAGTGTCAACCCTTGACCCTTTAAACTAAGACACAAAAGTCCTGTTGATTGTGTTAATTGATCACTGAGCATATGAAAGCTTAAAATCATTACTTACTGAGGCAGCGGGTTCTCAACCTGTGGGTCGCGACCCCTTTGGATTATATTTAGGGTTCACCACCTTAGGCAGGTTGAGAACCACTATACTGAGGCCTACTGGGACTCTTAGTACTGTTACTTGTTAGGTGGGAACATTAGAAAATTTGCTAACTTTTCCACACTGCAATTTCTGCTTCTGTCCTCTGAGACTAATAATCTTACTTCACAAGATTGTTTCAAGGTTTGAATATGTGTAAATTGCTTAGTGCCAGGGCAGTAGCCAGCCAAGTTAATAAAGGAAATCAGCCAAGCCAGTGACTAGCCAACCAACTCCCCCCAAAAAACCTCCATTAACAATCAGAACATCCACCTCTCCCCTCTCAAAAAATCTATTTTAACTAGGAATGTAAGTCTAGTACTATTTTTAAAAATTCAATTATATTTTTAATGAATTGAAGGGATACATTAATCACAATCTTTTCAATGTTTAAGCCTTCGAAAGCACCAGATTTTTAATCCACAATAGTTATTTCATAGTATGTCAATATGCTATTCAAACTGACCTTTTTTTTTTTTTTAACAGCAACTCACTCTATTGCCCAGGATAGAGTGCCATGGCCTTAGCCTAGCTCACAGCAACCTCAAATTTCTGGGCTTAAGCCATCCTCCTGCCTTGGCCTCCAGAGTAGCAGGAACTATCAGTCCCCACTGTAATGCCCTGCTATTTTTTTCTTATTTTTAGTGGAGACAGATTCTCCCTCTTGCTCAGGCTGGTCTAGAACTACTGAGCTCAAGTGATCCCCTGGCCTCAGCCTTTCAGAGTGCTAGGAATACAGGCATGAACTATCATGCTTGGCCCAAACGGACATTTTAAACAACTTAAGCAAAGATTCCCTGATGAGATTATCAAAGTGAAGCTTTCCAGTAAGTGGAAAGCAAAATGACCCAGAGGGAGCACAGACAGGAGACCAGGGGAAATAAAAAGGTGTGAAAAGCTGTGAGAATGCACGATGGGAGGGAAGAAATGGGCTGGAGTACTTAGGGCCTAAGGAAAAGATGGAGAAAAATACAAGAGCAGAATGGAGTAATAATTAAAAGAGAAAAAAGATCCAGGATTCTATAACTCAGTGTTTCTTATAAAAGTTTTGCCTGAGTGGATCATCATTAATATAGGCATACCATTTTGTTTTTTTTTTTTTTTGGCCGGGGCTGGGTTTGAACCTGCCACCTGTGGCATATGGGGCCAGCACCCTACTCCTTTTTTTTTTATTTAGTTTTTTTTTAATTAAATCACAGCTGTGTACATTAATACCTGGATGGAGCTGGAACATATTCTTCTTAGCTAAGTATCTCAAGAATGGAAGAAAAAGTATCCAATGTACTCAGCCCTACTATGAAACTAATCTATAGCTTTCATACAAAAGCCATAGCCTAATTATAGTCCTACTCTTTATTTTTAGTTAAAAAAAAGTATTAAGTTGCCTCTATTTGACTTAAAAGTTGAAGGTAAAGCCTAGATAAACATGTCCAATCTTTTTTTCAAGTTTTTTTTTCCTCCTCTGAAGAACAATTTACCATTGAGAAAAAAATCTCATCTGTGTAGTTGTGACAAAAAAATTGATAAAAAATCCTAATATTTTATTTAAATTATCAAATCATTAAGAGGTCATTTTAATTCTTCTGCAGAGATAATTCCTAAATAATTATCCTACCTCTATCTTATGTTCCTGAAATAAAACCACTGTATGGTACTCAAATATTTATAATCCTTTAAGTGTATAAGAAATAATCTCATCCTGGTAATAAATGATGAAAAGGAAAAGAAATAGCCTTTATCATAACATGTTTTTGAAATTGTGGTGGATTGCCTAACATTAACCGAAGTTGCCAAATTTTATGTCTCTGTGTGTGTGTGCGTGTGTGTGTGTGTGTGTGTGTGTGTTGTGGGCGGGTATGGGTGGGCATGGAATTAAACTAGAGAATCAAACTTAAGGCCAATTTATCAAAACAACAGCTGTTCTTATGTAACAAGGAAGTGGGCAGTAATTTCTAAGATTCAAAGACAATGCAAAGATTTCAACTGAAGTACTGTTTTCAAACTGAAGAAAATATAGAAAGAATGAAAGAAGTTAGATAGATTATGAAACCAGAAGTCTCATTTATTAATTGGAAGCACTGTGGAAAGAACACTAGACTATGAATACATGTTGAGTATCGGGATGGTTTTAAGACAATCTGGTCAATATTTAGCTGTGCAGTGTCTCTGGTGCCTAGTGTATCCACAGCTACCAACTTCCTACTATACCATCTTGGGTC